TGTACCAACCCGTCATCTATTTATTTTGAGCTGAACTAAAACACCAACGATGCTCAGACTGACACTTCAGTGGAATCCAAAAATAAGCTGTAGCCCCCCTCCCAAATCCACATACAGCCACTCCACCCCCAGTGCCACAACCAACTGTACCACCCAATCCTTCCCAAACTCTTCTCTCCACTCAGTGCTTCAGCCTCTGGTCCATCTGTCTGTCTGGGGGTACAAGGGCAGCAGGAGAATGGGGGTAGATGAAGGGGGAGTCTGGAGGGGGGACTCCGGGGGGGTCTGTGTGGGGTGGAGAGGTGCCTTTGTGGGGACCCGCACCATAATTAAGGATTCCACAGCTGCCTCTGCCTGATTTGCATGTCTGATAATTTGCCACATGCTACACACCACCACTATCTCCCACATCAGGGCATTACCACTGCAGCAAACGTCATTAAGGCTGAAGGAGACTGTGGGGGAGCAGGCGCCATGCAGGAAATCTGAACACTGTGTGAAGGCCTTTTTACACACAGCTCTGATACTGATTTCACCATTCTTTTCCATTTCACGTTTTACTGTGTCGTCAGCTTAACCAAGTCTGAATATATACACATCCACTCATCAAAAGTTTGTGACCACTATAAAGTATTTTCAGCATTTTTATTAAAATATAAAGCAACTATTTTTATTTTCAATTAATCTGTCAATTGTTTTTTAGATTAAGTGTTAAATCCCTAAAATATTCAAAATAAATAAAACATAACCACCACAACTTCCCAGAGTCTAAGGTGACTCTACTGATCGCTTTTTTGGAGAGCTGTAATGGTTAGTTGACAGAAAGAAAATTAATCTGCAATAATGTTGATAATCAAATAATCGTTCATCATTTTTCTAGCAAAAATCCCAAATATTTGATGACTCAAAATGTCTGAGTCACTTGACCTACAAATGACTTAAACGAGATGATTATCAAAACTGTTTGTTGTCCCAATTTTCTTTCAGCTGATTAACTGAATAATCAAATATAATGCATTTCAGCGTTATAATAATAATAATGATGAGGTCCTGGCAGGATCTGAGCACTTTCCGATTTACAGACTCTTAAATACAAAATTTCCTCCATCACTACAAGAAGTGAATAGCTATAAGTTCACAGCAGAGAAAAATTAAGCCTTTACAACTCTGAGGAATCAAAAGATCGTCTTCCTGGGCAAAACTCTTTCATTGTCTTTATGATGAGTAGGCGCTCCTATGATTAACTGGGTAATTAATTTGTTGAGGGACAGAAAAAAAACACCTTGGGCTGTGGGAAATTGTAACAGGTATTTTTCACTATTTTCTAGGGCAGCAACTAACGATAATTTTCATAATCGACTAATCTGCAGACTATTTTAACGATTAACTGACCAATCATTAAGTCAATAAAATGTCAAGAAATTGTGAAAAATGCTCATCACAATTTTCCAGAGCCCAAAGTGATGTCTTCAAATTGCTTCTTTGGTCCAACCAACAGTCCAAAACCTAAAGACTCTTCATTTACTATCATAAATGACAAAGAATAGCAGCAACTCATCAATTTAAGAGGATGAAACAAGCAAATTTTTCACATTTTTGCTTAAAAGATGCCTGAAATGATTAATCGATTATCAAAATAGTTGTCAATAAATTTTCTTTCAACCCGACTGATCAAATAATCATTGCAGCTCTACTATTTTCTGACATTTTATGGGCAGACTAATAGATAATGAAAACAATCGATAGCTGCTGCCCCAATGGTGAGTTTCACCATCAAAAAATGACAGTACGTTGGCTACTACAGGTGCCTAAATACAGCACTCAACTCCAATCTGTTTAAATCTTTAAAAATGAAAAGTCTCCAGCCTTCCTCAGATTACCATATGTTTTGTGTAACTTTGCAGCATTTACAATGAAGGTACTGCATTATAAAGTGTATTGTAGTGAGTCTGTTGTTTGGGATTTCACCAAAAATGCTGATATAGGGCAATCAAGCCTAACATTAGACTGACTCACACTCTCGCTCTCTCTCTTATTATGGTTAATGAGGAAACAGTGGGTGTGCTCTTTAGTTTCCAGCCATGCATTCAGAGTTTCATTCAAATTGACAGCTCACTCTGAGTCAGACACTGTCCGCCATAAGTAACCTGAATCAAACCAAGTGTAAATAAATGACTCATTACAAGGCTCACAAACATCCGGTTTCACAATCTGATACACTACAGTCCTCGCTCTACATATGCAGACAATCTCTGGCACATTCAGGCACCTGATATCTAAAACCTGATCTGTATTTGTCTCCCTCAGTGTGAAGCTGGCAGCAGCATCCCAGCTCCAAGATGCCAGTCAAGTGACAGATGTCTCCATTAAAGTGACACATGGGAAGAAATATGATCAGGCTTCTGGGTTAATTAAGACATTCTCAAATAATGAGCCTTAACTCCTCCATGTAATCCAATTTAGATCATGTTTAAACAGACAAGGGGACCCATGTAATTATATTATAACTTTCAATACATTGTGGGGTATATCAATATGCTGCTGTGGAATATCAGCACAGGCCTGTTTTTTCCTCTGAATTAATCATTTTAATCACTAAAAGGTCCTAGTCTGGTTTTTGACCCACTGTCCAAAACCCAAATAAAATAAATGCATTACATTAGGACAGAAAGAAAAAACAGAAAATATTCACATTTAAGAAGACTGACAGTAATTTTCTTGCTAAAAATATACTTTAACAATTAATTGGTAATTAAAATGGTTGCTGATTAATTTGCTTTTTATTGACATAAAGATTAATTGACTGACCAATTTATCTTTACTCAATAATCTGTTGTTTTAATCATATTATACAGTGCAACACATGCTATTCCCAGGTTGTTGGAGGATGGAAAAAGCTAGACAGACTAAATGATTGCAATGTTTTTCCAATGTAAATGTCAGGCACAATCAGCACGTTTGGCTCACACTGTCAACATAGCAACGTCTTCCTATCAAAATAAAGCAGTGATCAATGATGAAACACTCACCTTTATGCGGAGGGATTGATGGATATCTGCAGCCAGCTGTCCTTTCCACCAATGCAGCTCCCTCTCCATCTTTCCCATCCAGGGGGGGACTTCAAGAATCAAGATTTACCTGCTGAGACAAAACAAGACAAAGTTCAAACACTTCAATAGGTGGCATGCTGGGCTCAAAGTTGCGAGTATAACTAGATAATAGACTTCAAACTGGATATTTGATCAGAAACCCATCTGATGAAAGAGGGGATCGAGTTGAATTAAAGTTATTCTACACATTAAAATGGATTTTAGGATTTAATAAGTTAGAGGTTTGCGCTTGTACTGGCAGCTACGGCTGTTTTTGATAAAGTTTTTGAACACCTTGCTGATCCCACAGCAGAAGTCTCTTCCCCCGCATAGGCTATAGGCCATTTTCTCTGCTCGGGAATTTAAATGGATCAATTAAATGCCCGCTCGACCACGCTGTCCAGGTCAAATGAATCAAAGCACACTTTTAGTTAGGACACTTTTGACATGGTTGTTCAAACGACAAATTACGAACAAACCCGCATTCCGGTTATCGTTCACATCGCGTCAGCACCACGAGACAGCGGCCAAACAGTGAGGCTACACAAGTTAACTGCCCACCGAGCTCAGAAATGTTATACTGGCCTTGTTCAAAAACAAAAACAACACGCCGGGATAAAACTAAACACCTTCACACAAACACAGCTTATTTCTCCAACATGGCAGCAACCCGGTGAACTTTCCGTCTCGGTGTTTTTTACATGTGCCACTCACCGCTCCAACGGGAATGCCCCCCAGACCCCTTTGTCTCAGTCCGACATCCTGAACGAGAGAACTCCTCTTCGGCTCAACTTTGAGAAAGACCTCTTTTTTTTCGGCAAAAAAGGCAATGTTCAAATCCGCTGACAAGTTCATGAAACACCTCCCGCCGACAAACGACGGCAACAGGCGTTTGGTCGCGCCGTTCACCCGAAATGTTTACACTTTTCCGAGAGACACAGCTCGGCCGTTTTCTCTCCGGTCTCCGCTGTAACAAAGTAACGTCCTCGGCTGCACCAGCTGCTGCCGTTGAGGTACGAGGCTCGTGCGCTCGACGTGAAGGTCTCTCTTCCGTGCTGGGAGTTGTAGTCCTTGAAATCAGTGTCAGAACTACAAACACACCACGCTTATTTTCTTCATTTTAGTATTTTACTGTGATAATTTTGTTATTATTGATTTTATCACTTTGGTATTTAGCTTAGCATACATTGCATGAAACACGTTTCACTAGCATAGTAGAAAACGCTTGATTGGTTGATTAATTACTGCCAAGTACCAGGGTATGTCTCATAGCAACCCAGGTAAAAATTTTTGAAAAGGCTATGAGGTAATGCTAAACAAAGACATGCTAGAGAAGGTAACAAGCAGATGTATGAAAAAAAGGAAAAATATTATTCAATCTCTTCTTTCAATTACTTTTTATCATGCAATGTCATACAATGATTTCATATCCATCATTGATAACCCCTGAGATGAGCAATTTTATCTATCTAATGAGATGGCTAATTTAAAGTCCCCCTTCAGTCAAAAATGCCTTTTGGTTATTGTTACTTCACTTAGATGTTTGACCGTCATCGTGCAGGATGATGTAGAGTTTGACTCTACAAGACTGTTTTTGCATTTATCGGCTGAAGGGAGAATGTTCCTCTGTGCTCACCTTAAGTTTGTGATTAAGATGTGTATATCTGAGTATGATCTTCTGACATCAACTAGTTTGGAAGACAATTGTGGTCCAGTAGTTACAACTTACACTTAAGTGTGATGTGGAAAGTATCTAAATGATGAAATAAATCAGGTTACAGAAACAGGACAATACAAGATATAAAGTACACACAGGTATGTCACTTCTTTCTTTGCCTCCTCTCTCCATGCTTCCCATCCAGGCCTCTCATTCTCTTAAATTCAGCATAATAAAAAATGGTGAAACTAAACTATTTCTTATATTTCTGTTTATTCAGGGAACTGTCTCACCTGATGGTACACAGACCCCACTTTGGGCATGTTGCAGTAATGTATGCTAAAAACATGTTAGCTATTTTAGTTGTGTCAAGCCAAAATTTTAATGCATCACTGTATGTTTAAAAAAAATGTGAATGTAGAAATTACAGTATCAAATATACATACAGTAAAAAAAATTATGTTTACTAGTCAAACAGACATTTTTTTGGATTTACTGAATTTAGGGATAATGTCACACACACATCATCTTGTGTGCGTAGGAACATCTCAATCTTTGTGTATTTAAAAAAAATCAACATTATAGAAGACAGCTTTGTGCCATGTCCTACTGAAACGAATGCTGTTTGTTTTAAACCTGTTTTAAACCTTGCAGCTCTTGTATTATAAATATGAAAGAACCACAGAAATAAAAATAATTCTGTTACTTTTTTGGAGATACTAAAAGGATTTTGTCAGAATCAGCAAGGATATTGCAACCAAAACACATGACCTTTAAACATTAAATCACTAAAGTGGGTTCCTAACTGTGGTTTACTTGTGCCCCCTGGTGTCAGAACTTTAACCCTACTGTCACAGAGCAACCGCTTCAAAAGTGGATTTCACAACATTTTGACATGATTTTAAGCCAATTATTTAAAAAATAATCAAACATATATCAGTATTAACTGTCATCCTGAGCATTAGCCTTTCTATCAGCCTCATTGAGATAGTCCTGGTCAGCGTAGATAAGAAAGCCAGTGAAGGTGCTGTCTGTCCAGAAAGGGTCAAAGAAGAGTCCATTCTGCTCAGAGTAGAAGATCTGCAGCCAGACCTGGTCTGACTGCAGCAGGTGGAGAACAGTAGAACCAGATGCCACATCATGGTTCCCTGTATTTGCATCAAATGTCTTGATTTTGTACTGTCCATTGTGGACCAGGCCGATGGCCAGGTGCTTATTTGCCAGAGTGATATCATATGTGAAATAATACACCCCGGGGACAGCGCAGACAAACTTCCCACTGCTGGCGTTGTAATGGTTCCCCTCATTCAGCAGGATCCTGCTGAAGCGGATGGGCAGTCGCTCTTTAGGGTAGCTCTTTGTCACCGCCACAGAGAAGGCAGATCGGGCTGCACGGCCACAGTTGCAGCCTCCGGGAGCTCCCTGCTGGCCCACCCCACCCAGCTCTCCTTTTAGTCCTCGCTTTCCAGCAACCCCTGGTGTTCCTCGTAGCCCCTTCAACCCTCGAGGTCCAGCCTTGCCGATAACACCTTCACGTCCTTTGACACCTGGCTTGCCTGGGTTCCCGGGCCTCCCCGGATCACCTGAGATCACAACAGAGGCAAAATGATGACAGAGTGACATGACTGACAGCTTAGCACAATCCTCAAAAACTCCTTAGAGCCTAGAGTAGTTCTCCAATCTTTATGCCTCACAGTTTATCATTTACCCTGAAGGACTTGTTGCCTCTGCCTAGAGTGGCACTGGAGTGTATTAAGTTAACATGCATTAAACCTTTGTTGTGTTGACATCGGCTGTACTTCCTTATTGTTGTTGGGGCCCTGAAGAAAGCCTGAAAGCCCAAACAGAAGTAATGTATCTGTACCATACTTGAAACATAGTAATTATAATAGTAATAATAGTAATTCTCATAAAATTATTAAATGTGATCAAGGTTCAGGCTGATAAAACAATGTTTTTTTGTTTTAACTGTTAAAGAGGACCTCTAGGACCCTAAACAGAACATTAGGATTAGCATTACAACAGAAGAGAGTCAGTCAGTAACTACCTCTATCTCCCTTTAATCCCTTCTCTCCATCCTTCCCATCCGGGCCATCTTTTCCCGGGGACCCCATGGGGCCCATGGCGCCTGGTGATCCAGGGGCTCCGGGGTTCCCTGGTGGCCCTGCAGGTCCTGGCAGACTGCAGACCAGCTGGGAGGAGTGGATGGTGATGTTGCGACCTCTCTTGGGTGAGGAATACGTTGACTGGGAGAAGACAACTGACAGCAAACAGAACATCACACATATCTGGAGCATGATGGTCACTGTGGAGTCACGGGAAGACGAGGCCATCGTTTTCAACAATTCATTTGTTGTTAGTCACAGTCAGATGATTCAAATGCCTGGAACAAATAACAACATAAAATATGTCAAGTTAAATGACATCCACAAATGGACGGGGGGGTGGAGTACATGCGTAGGCTACTATCTACAGCTAGAATCAGTTGAAAAAAACAACTTAATCTAAATGGTCTGATCAGTTTCATGTTATGTCTCAGCGCTTCAATAGAAGTATGAAACATCAATTTTGCACGGGTTAAATCAAAGCACAGGCTGCCGCTTACATGTTTTTGCAAAGGGAGTGTACCAGACATTTTAAAAACACAAAGAGCTCACCCGTTGAGAAATGATGACCCATGGGCTTTTTCCAGCACTATCCAAGTCCTTTTTCTGCATCAGGATGCACAAACTTTCCTACATGGATTTGGAAAATCGTGTGAGATAGCCTCTTCGAGAGAGGCACTGCAGAGAAATGTGCAGCCCAGTGAACCATAGTCCATAACATCCGCCCTGTTTAAGCAAGCACACTGCCAAAAAATATTTTCACCATGATGTCATTAAATTCGAGTCAGTGCAACAGTATTGTACAGCCGAAGTGGTGACGCGTCACTTGTTCACAAACTCCTACTGTGGGAAAATATGTCACATAACAGACAACATAAAATGTACAGAACAAAGGTTTTGTCATTTGTTATTATGTAGTCACGTTACAGTCATAACTTTGTGCATTTTAAATAACATTTTTATTTTGAAATGAAAGTGCAAAATCAAACCGCCCAACAGGGTGGTCTGCAGAAATGTATAAAATGCATTTTGAATATTACCAGATATGTTTATGTTCATTGCTGTGATGCAGAGCCAAGGGACCAATAAAATGTTCCAGCTGTTGGGTGAGGCAGTGCCTTGTGTTTAGCAATCTACTGTACTCACCTTTAACTGGAAACATGTGAATATAGGTTACATAACCAGTTATTGTTGTAGCAGGTTTCTATTAGCAACAACAACAAAGAAAACATGTGATCACACATATCTGTTAGTTCATATTTGAACTACAGAACAAAATCTGTGGACAAAGAATGAAAACGCGAAAACAATAATGTTGAAAGTGTGACCCAATGTAATGCTACTTATGAAGCAATTTAAGAAGCACAGAATTCACACACTGATCCACTGCAGCTGGGATGTATTGCTTGCAAATCAAAGCAAGAGAGTACATGTAATATTATTCAGTTTTTTCTTTCAGTTATTTTTACTCCATTTCACACATCTTCATATAGCTAATGAAATGGTTAATTTAACATCTGGCCAAGGAACAACTGTTGAAAAACACTAGCACATTACAGTGATTGTTTTATTTTTTTTTAACAGGGTCAATGCACAAACACTTTTTGACAACATATTAAAGCAAATATATATTTTATTATAAAAATGAGGCATTTTTCCCCACTGAAAGTTATTGTCAGCAAATTACTGTTTGAATACAATAGCTGTTACTGTTAAAGACTGAGGGTGACGAAATCTAAGAAAATTGTAACTTTCACATTTGGTTCGTGGAACTGATTAGTACAAACAAAAGCACATCTTGTTTTATACTATAGTCTATCAACATGTGGCACCAAAACAAAAAGCATACCAAATAAAATTAATAAAAACACTGTACACTGCTTCTGTCACGATCATAACCAAACAGAAGGCTCCTGCTGTAAGTTTACAACTTGAGTTTTATGAGTCTGAGATATTTCTTTCCACCGAGCAGCAGCTCTGGTACAGTTCTTCGGAGAGTTTATGGGAGTCAGCAGGGACTAAGATGAGGTCACTGTCCCAGGAAGGGAGCCATGGGATCATCTGCCCGGCAACGCTTCATGCGGAAGGCCTCCATCTCCTCCTCAGTGGGCGCCTTCACTTCCATCAAGCTGTTGTACGGCCTCTTCCTCTCATCCAGCTGCATTATTGCATCTACGTGCTTCACCCGCTTGTCCTCCGCTTCGAGCGCCTGGGCGGAGGAAACAGGTTTTGAGGTCAGTCACAGATAAACAAGCCAAATCACAGAACCACTATTTGCCATCTTAAAAAACAAAAATATTGCCACCTTCTTCAGCTTCTCCTTCTTCTTCTCTTCATCCTCTGAATCGCTGCTGTCAGAGCAGCGCTTCTTGTTCTTTTTGCTCTTCTTTTTCTTCTTCTTCTCTTTCATCATCTTATCTCGATGCATCTAGGGATCAAAATCATTGACATGACGAACATACAATTAGATCTAAATGTTGACAGACTATAAAAAACACCCATAGGATCATTGACAGGACCTGTTACAGTGTTCTCTTCAGCGTCACTTACTTCCAGCAGAGTCTTGGGCTCTTCCTCCTCCTGAGGCTCAACCAGTCCCTCTTCAAATGGTACGCAGTCCGTGTTGTTCTTAAAGTTATGAAAAGAACAAAAATAGTATGCAAGTAAAACTAAAAGCGGTGTATCAAACAGAGGATTTGAGTACTGTTAGGGATGGGGATTGTTAATTTTATTGATCTGATACCCTTATTGAGACCGCTTAATGATGTGATTATTTATCGATACTTTACTAATATTTTGTGACGGTTATTGGTAAGACCAGCCCCAACGGACATGGGGTAGGCCTGCACGTTATGAGGAAAATGTGCAATAACATTGTTCTATACTAAGATGACATATGACTTGTGAAAAATAAACATAATGAAGTGTGCATTAGAATTTAATATATTAAATGCAGCTAAATGTTTATTCTAGAGCAGCAACATTAATGTTTACCTCTTCCACCTCTTCTTCCTCCTCCTCTCTGCTGTTATTCACTGTCTGCAGGTAATGTTAAATGGCAGAAGGAGGCGCGGCTGGTTTGTCACAATCAACAGAGACTACAGACCAGGCTATGCTACAGATAATCAGCTTTCTATTTAGCTTCTTTTTAACATTTGGCTAATCAGAAATACTTTATTGATGAAATAGGAGTATAAATATAAAGAAAAACATAAAGGAGTGTGTAATTGCCAAGCTCAGGTTAGCTGTGCTTGTATAAAACATACAGGATGAGAGACTGAGGACAGAGATAATTAAATTAACCCTTTATACATGTTTACCCTAAACCCAGCTGTTGGAAACTTGAGTAGCTTGGAGTTAACTGAACTTCACAGTCTCCACCACGACGTCTCGCTCTGCTGCCGCTGTGTGTGTGTGTGTGTGTGTGTGTGTGTGTGTGTGTGTGTGTGTGTGTGTGTGTGTGTGTGTGTGTGTGTAGGAGCCAACAGAGAACAGGCAGAGCCTGCAGCCTGATGATAAACAGTTGTGTGTCGGTGCCATAATTAGAAACATTAGTTTTCTCATTTCAAGTTAATCAGATTTGATGCTCGAGACATAACTAGTGATGAAACGGTATGAAAATTTCATATTACGATTATAGTGACCAAAACTATCACGGTTATCAGTATAATCACGGTATTGTAAAAATGTGCCGAAAAAGATTAAAATGTACTGATACACACACTGAAACCATTTCAAGTTTTATACTGAAAACTACAAATATAATTGCCATTTTGTTTTCATAAATAATAACATAACAGCAAATACCTTTTGTAAACAAATGAAAATCATTTAAGTGTGCATTATCAAGATTTTATATAATATATAGGTAACACAATGACCCCGTGGACAATTACATGAAAACATAAGTCTGTAGAAGACAGTGACTGCAATTAGCCCAAAAACTGACATAAATACAGAGCAGTCCGTAGCGTTTCTAGATATGCTGATTGGGTGATTAAACAGCGCAAGGTGTCATCATGTGCAGACGAATAGACTCTGCCAACACACGACGCATACAGCAAGAGAACAAGAGCAGCAACACTGAGAGCTTCAGTTTACAAGCTGTTAGCAAGTCAGAGAGACAAACCACAGCTAAAGTTAACTCACCCTGCGTTCACTGTAAGGTAATTTTCTTCAATCAAGTTTCCCTCAGCGCTCTCATAAATACTAAAATACGACCAGACTTCAGAGAAACTGAAGAATCTCCGCAGCGCTGTCTTCAGCCGTGTTGTCATTGACCCAAACAAACCCACGTTGCATTCTGCGCATGCGCGCCTGCTTCTGGGAGACGCTGGACAGTGTTTGCCGTGAGTTTATAATAGCGCGGTTAATCGTACCCAGTTATCATGGTAATTTAAAAAAATATATATATGTGTATGGTAATAATAACCGTTGGGAATTTTACCATGGTTTACCATTAAACCGGTAATCGTTTCATCCCTAGACATAACATTACATTGTAGGACCTGCTAGTCTTGATAGCAGTATCAATAAGCTTGGACCTTAGTGATTTTCAGGTTTCAGGAGAAATTTTGGAACCGGTCCTTTTCGACCCGGGTCTCGATCCCCATCCCTACAGTTAACACATCTACTTACTATTTCAATTCCAGACTCTCCTGTGCAGTAACTCTGTTTGACCATGGAGTGACAGCACTTGTATCCCCAGAAGCCATCTTTCCAGAAGGAGCCCCAAATGCACTAAAGACAGGAGAATGTTTTTTTTAGAATACAAACAAACAAAATGTGACAAAATTAAGCCAAACGTTTTTCCGCAGGGGGCCGCAGCGTGTTCTCGCCATCCTTACAGTGTGGTTGTTGATGAGCACGTCCTCCTCATACTTGGAGCGAGCCACGGCCTTCTCAAGTCCCTTCAGTACAGCGCCGTGACGAGAGTACTCCACGTAGTCCTCCGTCTGGGCCAACAACAGCTCCCGTGGCGGTGCATTTAAGTGTTCTTCACCTCCATACTGATTGCCACAAACAAAAGCAAAAATGTCAAAAACAATTAACTCTTCAGCCAGCAGGAGAGAAACATATTGAAGTCTTTTTTTTAAATTAAGTTTTTTACCAAAGGCTAAAATTTGAGACCATATTCTCAAACTTTCACTGCTGCTACGACTCACATCCACAAACTATTGGAAGATGGCGTAAAAATACAATGTCGACGTTGTGAGTGCCCATAAAAACATATGCATAGATACCACTTAGTGCTTGTATCCACCAAAACGTTTTTTGCCAGCTGAAAACGCCAGTTGCTCTTCAGGTAACGCCTAGCTGGGAGTCGCAGCGATTTTTAATGGCTGAGATGCTTTGGTTGCTACGATACATTATGTCCGTGGAAGTGATGTGTTGCAAGTAGGCTACCTAATTTTACCGAATTTAAAAATGTCACCACAAGTAAGAGTAAGAGTACATGTTCCACATGAAGAGAAGGCTGAAGCATGTAGAGCGAGGGTTCATGAGATTTTGTGGGTGAGAAAACGCCCTGGCTAGTTCCATCGTTTGGTTCAACAGCTGAGAATGCTCTGTGTGGTATTTTATCCCCCCCTCCTCCACTATGACAGTGACGAGTGCTGCATTTCACCCAATTGCAAAACACTTTTTAACTCTCAGTGACGCGAAAAAACCCTTGAGCGCCCAGTGCCCGGCGCGGAATAGACCTTAAGCACCTCGTCACGCTGCTGGCGTTTTTTACCATGTTGTAAATTCTCAGTGCTCCCATTGCACTGTCTTGCAAAAAGACGATGGCTTCATAATATTTATAGATAGAAAGATACTAGAAAGAAAATAGAAAGATAAAAAGAACATATAAAGTGTTAGAACCTGACAGTGGTGTAGATGGATGATCTATCTCTGCTTGCATCATTTACATAGGCAGGCTACAATCTGACATGCCTCAAAACTGATATTATACAGTCTGACACAGATTGTGGCGTACATTTTATTAGACCAATTTTGCTCAATGTGACATGCAATTAACAGCCTGCTGCTAAAAAAAAAAAAAAAAAAAAAAAAAAAAGCAATGTACCTTCTCCAGGATGCTATCCCTCTGTTTTTCTTTAAAGTCCTCCTTCTTGACCTTAAAGGACTTGTGAAGCAGCTCCAGCTTGGTGGGGTCAGCCTGCAGATGCACCTCAGAGCCTCTCTCATAGGCCTCCCAGGCAAACACTGTCACAAGATGAAGCAAGGTACAGTAAAAGATACCTGCTTGAGAAGCGTGAACGTAATTTGTGTGTTCGATACGATGAATGAAAATAAATAATCACATCAGAAATTTATGACAGAACTCCTTCTCACCCCGATCACTACTTCCTTCACTCCCTTATACAAGCACACTCATTTAGTGATTCATAAAAACTTGCAATACTGGACTATGAGATCAGCCATCTGCAATGCAGTGGGCTGCATTATGCCTTTGAATTTATTCACACTACAACCCACCTATACAGTACATGAATTACTATGTTTGATAATGTATTTCATTTCATTTAGTAATGCTTTGGACTTTGGTGACAACGTTGATAGTCTGTGTATTTATTTATCAATTAATATATTAGGCTATGTTTATTATGAAAGATGAGTTTATTTAACTTGTACTAATCTACGGGTCTCGCAATTGCCCCAAATTGAAAGTGAAATTGAAAACTGAGATCAATCCTGCCATTTCTGTCGCATGTTATATCAGAACAGACCTGCTTTGGCTAGGAAAATTATGCCATTTACAGTCTTGATTTTTTACAACATTAACATGCAAACATATATGGGTACTTTAATAGTGAAATTGTTTAATTTAGCTATGCCTGCTAGCTAAGGCACGTAGACAACAGGCAGCTAAAACTCTGGCAGCATCTAGTTAAAGTAATTGTGATTAAAGCACACGACGGCTCCAACCACTGTCCTTTACTCTTTTTGTAATACCAGGAAAATCTGACTTGCAAAACTTAGAGTGGGGGTGATGAGTGGCTGAAGGGAGCTGGAGAGCTATCTTGTGACTTACACTGTGTTTGAGCCATGGTGATCGTGGCCCCAGAATAGCGAGCAAAGTTGTCTCCAGCATACCCGACTCTGTCAGACAAAACAGTTAAATAATCATTTCAACACAAGCCAATGAGAAGTTTTGAGTAATCAGGAAATACAGTGACAGTCACTTACTCGTCAGGGTTCATGCCAGTGTTGGAGTACGGGTTCTCTCTCATAGCTCGAGTCTTTGGATCATAGTATGCTGAATTTGGATCCAAATTCCTCAAGTACTTGTGTGAGAAACAGACACAAGAAGTTCAGATTATTGGGAGTCTGTGTTAGTAACAGGATCTCATCTCTCAATTAAAACAGCTTCCAACGGTGGACATGGGAGGCAACCTACCATGGTCCACCACAGCAAAATAAGAATCATTAGTTAGAGAGCTGAGAGTAAAATAGCAGTTCAGCATAGGCAATAGGCCTGTGTGTCTCTTACTTTAGCCGTGTCTTCTCTGATACGCAGATTCCTAACAGTGATTCGCCTCTTGGAGTCAAAGTTCTGACCAGGCATGTCAATGTCATCTGCGTATTTATCTTCATCCTCATCCTCGCTGTCATGTTCCCGCTCCTGCACAGATTCAAAGAATTAAACGTCGGTCTTCTAGACAAGAGACTGCCTTTTATCTTGCGAATAAGACAACAATACAATCTTGACATAGGTGAACACTTACAGATTGGTCCAGTTTTCCAGAGGCCAGCTCATCCTGAAGCTTATGTGCCTTCAGTGTCCTCTTGGCCTGAGAGCCAGAAACAAATAAAGTCAAATTCATGTGGTAAACAGGAAGTAGATTACACAGTTGTGATGTAATGTTTTGAACCTGATGATAACACCTGATTTGTGTCCCAGTACCTGCAATTGTGGAAATATTATTTATGATGCGTTTTATCTTTTAAAGTATTCATACCAGGTAATAAAGAGGTGCAAAAATAAACTGACATAGGCACTTCAGTTTGCCCTCAGTTATGTTTGCAAGGTTTGGCTTTGCAAGAATCAGGGATTTTTAGTTGCCAGATTTTACACCAAAAAGAAGGTTCAGTTTGAAGCTGTTGTGTATGGCTTCTCTGAATTTATATGTCCTTGGAAGAGGGCGGACATATGTGTTTGTTTTTCTTCTTCTCAACAAACTAAACGCTAGTTTAGCAAGCTTAATTTACCACTGGACTGCTTACCAGGTCAACTTTGGCGTACTCTTCCACGATGCGCTGGTGTTCCTCTGGGTCATACCCGTTCCAGCGGTCACGCTTCCCGTCATAGTCCAGTTCAAGCTGTATCTGACTGTGTTCATCTGGAGCTATGCCTGTGCCTGTGAACTTTGCGCCAACTTTTCTGGGTCTCTGATGAGATGAAAGTGAAGGTCAGAGGATTACGTTATTTATTACAGACAGAACATTATTTTAATGTACAGGATTAGAAGTGAGTAGGGATGTCACGAGAGCTGATACTTCAGTACCGTGTATTCAACATGTGGAAGATGGAAACAAGTGTAGCTGCAGCAACAGCCTCGCCCAAAAGAAAAACAGTAAGTCAATTATGGAAACTGGGGTGAAGTTAGATTAATATTAATAGATTAATATTGGAAATATTAGTTTTTGCAGCCGTGACCTTCAATAGCTCTGTGGCAAAGCCTCGATTTCTTCCCGTTATGGGATATGTTGGCTAATTTCGGCAGACGTTTCAGTTTTGATCAACTCAAAATCACCAAAGTTGAATATGCCGTGGTGAGTGTAAAGAACTGAATGTCTGTCGCTATAGGCGGAGTTAGGGACCGTCTAAAAAGTGCAATACAATCCATTTCAACTGTAAATGACAAACCACTGCCAATATAGATAGTGACATAAACATTTCCCACATTTAAGAATTAATTATGCATTCTGTAATATCAAAAGCTTGCTCATTTATGAATTTATTGACATCAAACCACCTCTCATCTTTTCATCATCGTTTTTTTTTTTTTATTAAAAAGGAGTGTATTTTGAATTTCATGGGATTCATTGTTTTGATTTTTACCGAGGTATCAAATTTGGTATAGAGAATCTTGGAATTTCACTGGAATTGGTATGGGCCATTTAATTTCTGTTATGTGACATCCCTAGAAGTGAGAGAAAATTCATCTCTATGGAAAGATCTGTTTTACCTCCAAGCAGTCCTTCTTCTTGTGTGTCAACGCACCACAGTTTTCACAGGCTCCCTTACGAAATTTAGTGGTGACAGTATTCTGTTTGGAGAGAAAAAAACACGGCACTATTAACTTGAAAATTCATTTGTAATGGCTCTATGAAACTAACTCATCGATTCACCCTCACCTCTTGCACTCCTCTCTTGTACCACTCTCCAATGGTTGAGTACTGCTTCTGACATTCAGACTGTGGTCTCTGATGCTTTAGTGTGGGCCTTTTGGATGGGTCAACATACCATGGCACTGATGAAATGTACTGTGGGATGTGAGGGTTAATGTCCCTGGAAGAGAAAGGAAGCAGCACAAGTGGTTCATATTAATGTTACAACAGCACCTTCATTATAAAGATGGCAATTAAGAAATAAACAGCGATTTTACAAATGAAGATCAGTTATCTTGTCATGAAGAGTTCAACTCAGGAAGTACGATAGAGATGAGAAAGATTCATGTTTACACATAAACTCAAGATGGCTAACTGATCAAATACACTGCTCATTGAAAATATAGATCCATTACATTTGGGTGTAATTCCCTGGAAGAATGGACTTTGGATGGTGATGGGTCCATGTATGTTTTGTTTACCAAACATCTGAGTTTCCTAAATCATAATTATCACCTGGATGTTGATGTGAATGCTTTTTACAAGTCAGAAGCTGTAATTACAATAAATCTCATGAGATGATGAGATGAGATGAATGTGTCATTCACCAGGTAGGGAAGACCTAATGAAAGATGCTATTGACTGAAATGCTGTATCCAGTACTTGAGGAGTTAAGTCAGAGTATCCCGACCTCGGCTACATTGATGTTGTTCACTGCTCTTTTTAAAGACCGTCTCTCACAAGTCCTCCAACTTTAAATAAGTGCAATACTATATCGCTAGAGTTTGATTTTGAGAAATTGTTTAACATCACTGGCCTCTGCTAATTAGACCTTTAAAACATCCAGATATGAACAGGTTGCGAGCTCAACTGGAGCATTTCTTCAGCTAACGTTACTCCGAGGACCCACTCTCTGCACAGACATAAACTCACTTGCCCTCCTCGTCCACCTCAGCTGGAGCGTTTCCCAGCTTCCTCTGCTCCTCCAGCTCCTTCTTCTTCCTCCAGTCCTCCCTGGTCATCTTCTTGGGCTCATCCAGGCCCACGATCCCCTCCTGGCTAACGCCAACATTGGCGTCAGGCTGCTCGGTCATGACTGAACCTGCCACCAGGAATACACCTCATTGAGCGCTCAACGCAGCCGAGTAACGCGAAACAGACGCTATCGTCACTTTAACGTTAAGTTAGCTCACCTTGCAGTTTACCAGCTTAGTGACTTCAACGTGGAAAAAAGTATTTTACCTTGTATAAACTGATTTAATAAATAACTTGGTTACCTTAGTGAGATCCAACAAATACCACAGCGGTTAATATTTCCCTTGTAGAAACGATAATTTCCTCTGTATCTAGCTCTGCGTTTGCGCCCGTCCGTTGTGTTTTCACCTAACACACGACCGTCGCCATTTTACATCCACTACAGCTACGTCACGTCCTTTCTGTCTCCGTGGTGTTCAATTCACCGACGTGACGTCCCTGCTGGACAGAGCGGCACCTAGCGGACACAGCTGTTTGCACTACATGCCGAGATGTACCGCCTCAACGCAAAGACACCACTGTTCACGATTGCTTTTCCAAGCAGTGTTTTTCCTTTCTGTGTGGTACATGGCAGATGTTGTTATGCTTATCACAACACTTCTAAATATCTATATGTAAATTATGCTCCGTTCACACCATTAAATTGTGTAGGCAAGCACACTTTGCCCTGCTGGATTAGCAACAATGCAATTAATTGAAACTTAATTTGGGATATGCAATACCAAAGCACAATATCAAATGATTTAAGGGCTCTAAAGTAGGTCATTTTTATCAGTTAATACTGACACCAATTCTTGAGGGCATCTGACCATATCTTTTTTTTCTTTTTACATTTTGTGCTTTGAAAGTGAGAGGAACAAAGCTTCATTTGGCCATGACCGATACATAGAAGTGAAATTACAGAAACTCTATCCAAATGGCATATTATTATCATCCTCTTCTTCTTTATTTCCTTCATTAACAATTCCCCCCGACTTGGTAAATCTCACTTTGAGTTTTGTATGATTTGCAAGGAAATCGGCAGAAAATTCATTGTAGCTATGTAACTTCAAGTGAGTTATTAGTTAGCCATATGTACTAGGAAATTATTAACACAAACATCATTTTCAAGTGGTAAAACAATTAAATAGGTTATAGGAAGCACGATTAGCACCAAAAACTTGCAGAAGTACAACTTGCTATTTTTCTCTCCTTATCTCCTGACTTCTGATACGGTTTGTTTCTTTATTTTATTATTATCATATATGTAGATGTTAGGTTGCAGCAGCTAACTGAAATAAAGCCTTGTGATATATTGCCTCAACTTTTTCAGACAATATTTCTTATGCCAGATGTGACTGTAAGGTAACGAAATACTGGATACCAAGTGAATACGTACTTTAATTTTATTTTCTAACTCAGTGAATGGGACAGCAGTGATCGATGCAAAACAAATTTTTGTTTATATCTGTGATGCATTTAGAGATTGTAGAACATCACAACATTACTTTAGTTCTCTATGCCTCCGATCCTGAGCTCTGATCTACCTGTTTGGAGGGGGGAAAAAGGATGAATTAATAGAAAGAACACACTGTTTTTGTAGTGAGATGGATCATCTAAAGCCTCAATGACGCCAATGCGTTTATTGTTGCGTTACTCAGAAGCACCAAGCAGGTGTTGTGCTTAACTGTAACATGGACCAGTGAGAACACCATTTTGATCACTCTTGTAATTAGAAAGACAAGGTCAAGACAGTAACAACAACATAAGATGGCGTTATGATGACAGTTTGGTCAGGCGAAACCTCTCACCTTTTTCTTATATTCCAAACATTAAAAAAGGCCAAAAAATGTAAACAATGTTGAGAGAATAAACAAAAGAACATAACAGCACCAGACACAAATAAACCTATCGACAGAAGTATAAAGAGACAGACTGAATCAGTCCTTGAGCCTTAGCACCAGTACACATCCCCACTGTCAGTCCGGCAGTCTGGGGATGAGAAGGCAACGTGGTACCAAAGCGAAGGCAGTGTCGCGTTCAAGTAGGTACCAAAGTATCAAACTCTTAGTCTTTTCTAACTTTTTAGTCCTTTGAATGCCTGTTGAGAGTTTTTGCTGAGAAGTTATGAAGGAATGGATAGACCGAGTCACTTGTCATCGTCCTCCACCCTCCCCCACTCCTCCGAGTCCTCCCCCTCCACCTCTCCATCATCAGCATCTTCGTCCACATAATCACCCCAAGTATCATACACATTCCCTCCTTCGTCCTCCTCTTCGTCACCGTCGTGTTCCTCGGGCTGGTCACCTCCATACAGCGGCTCATCCTCCTCATCTTCAACTATCTCCATCTCCTCCATGTCATCCTCTTCCTCCTCTGCTTCTTCGTCGTCGTCATCGTCATCGTCGTCGTCATCATCATCGTCATCGTCTTCCACGTCTTCTTCCACGTCTTCCACCTCTAACCACACACCTCCCCGTCCTCCACCTCACCGTCCTCTCGCTCGTCCCTGGAGGACGTAGGAGTGGAAAACGCGTTCCCTTCCGTCCCGTCTGTGGCGTAAGACCTGCTGGAAGGGACGAAGCTCGAGGTAGCAGTTTTTGTGTTTATATAGAGACGAGGAGGAGGACCCTGCCCAGCTGTTGCAGCCTGGCCAGCAGAGGAAGCGATGGGAGCGGAGCTGGTTTTTCTGGAGTCTGGGACCAGCGAGTGTGAGACAGGTACAGCCATGGCCCCGGGCCTCACGGAGGTCATGTTGGGCACGTACTCACGAATCTCCCCCGGCTCCAGCGGGTCAGGTCCACAGGGGTCGTGTTCACTGCAGGACAGCTTGCCGTCCAGCTTGGAGATAAAGAGCATGCCTTCACGATGCTCCTTACAGTAAGAGCTGGGGCACATCTCACAGAACGAAGCTGCCTCTTTACCGCAGACGTCACACTGGTGCCATGGACACTCCCATCGCCCTGGACACAAGATCACCATTATTACTAAGTTAAGAAAAAATATTTTAGGCTGAAGGCTCCAATAATACATTTTTTTTAATAACAAATCAATTGTTTTTTTTAGAGCGACAGCTCCGTCTTATGTCACTGCTCATAGAGGTCAAAATATCCTTAAAAAGTCACCCAACTGGCTGAGAGATTGAAAATACATTCAATCTTTAGAAATGATATGTTATCAAAGATAAATCTGGGGCCTGTACTACAAGGCAAGTTCAACATACCCAGGATATCTTTACATTATCTGGCTTAACTAACCCTAACAATCAAGATCTGGATAAGCGGTACCCCGAAGCTGGTTATCAACTCGGTAAGTCAACCCAGGGTTTCCCAATCCAGCCGTGAGCGTGTTCACATAAAAGAGGCGGTGTTAGCAGCTGATGACCAATCGCAGACATGAACAAGTCCACTGTCAGCAGAGCAAACTGTATACTACAATACTACAGAAATAGGCTATGACATGGTCTAAGTAGCACGAGTGCAGCAGACACATGCTGGGAGACGCAGACAGTGTGAACGCCTACATGAACAGGCGTCTATAATAGGCTAATGCGTTGATTTGATGCGTTCTTATGATCTGTATGAAAATATCAGCCTTATTCTTTCAGCTCAGCTGTGTGTCGGCGTTTCCACATTAAAAGACTCGGGCACTGAATAAATAAATGGTTGTTGCACCTCACTTTAAAGAAGTTCTGGTCACTTCAAAAATGAGATTAATTTATTTAACACACTCTAAAGTTTTCCTAACATTGTTCTAAATAAAACTTCATAAAGCAATGAAACGAAAGATCCATTAATGCCATAAAATGTGCTCAAATAGTGGTGGAAAAACTGAATCTCAACATTTAGGTTACTGAAAACTCACCTCATTACCTGCGCCCACATCGCAAAAGGTGGGGCGGAACATGACCAGTCTCTGTGATAGCCTATAAGATAGCTACTAACCTAAAATAAATAGCCTACATTCATATTAAAATTGATTTCAATATCCCTACCAAACTGCTCATAATATTCAGCCTCTACTTGCCTGCAGGCCTCTTGGCCAGGTTGAGACAGTCAGCGTGATAGACCTTCGGGCAACCCGGCTTCTTACAGGACACTATCTGGCCCCCATCACCACAGCTGAAGCACTCATCTTCCCTCTCCTTGGTCACTTCTTGCTTGGTCTTCTTCTTCCTCCTCCCTTCCTTTAGTTTCAGTTTCTCAGCTGACGGCTGGTTCTGAGCAAGGAAAAGACAGGTTACAAGGCAGCTATTCTTCGAAGTACATTTAGTCAAGGGCAGCAAAAGGATAATCTTAAGGGGGAAAGTGTGCTTGCTTGCGCTGAAACTCTTCAAATGTAAGCTTTTACCTTCGGCCGGACACCCAGGAAACCGCTGCAGTTGGGTGCTCCACATTTACAGGCAGTTTTACCATTGCCAAGACACTCAAGGTTGTAGTTGAACTTCAGCTCCTCCCCTGTAGTATACGGTGTATTAGATCTATGCTGCGCTCCGATGTGTAGTTTATTAAACTACACATTAAATTAATGAAATAATCTGCATTAATCCAACACAAAACACCAAAATGAGAAGTAGGTGGTCACTCAAACCTTTTGGGATGTCTTGTAGAGCAAAGAGCCCCACCCTGGTGTCCCCGTTCACAGTCCACTTCTGAGTCTCACAGTTTGGTTGGCAACTGTGGTTCATGAAGCGAGCCTGGTTCCCTTTTGGCCCGGCATCAATGATCCGGTCCTGCAATAGGAAAATACAAACTGGTTTGCACAAAGCACTCGCCTACATTACGAATCAAGTAGTGTTGCTAAGCTGTATCATACACAGAGTATTGTGTTTGTGGTCATCAGGCTCAGAATCACCTTGTCCAGTGTAAGCATGTAGAAGTTACAGATGTCGTTCTCCTGGGCGTGTTTGATCCTGGCTCGGCATTCCTCTTCATCGATCACCTCCCCGACATATTCACTCACAAAGGCTCCCTGAGAAGCAACAGAAACAGGACCAGAGAGATTATCCATAACAGAGCGAGATTAATGAGAGCATTACAGTCACACACACACACACACACACACACACACACGATTTCTTCTAACATACCTTCTTGATGTCCGACACGCCACGTAAACCCCAGCCGCAGGACAGCGTCCTGTAAATCTCCACAGGTGTGTACTGGCGCTTTGTGAAGGCCTGGTTCTGACATCGCTCCCCTGCCGCACACACCTGAGGGTGGCACTCGTACATCAGCATGCGATTAATGCACTCGGAGTCGATGCCGCACGGGTTCTCGTCAGACGCCTTACAGTTACAACGTGGGATCTCTGATAGGTCAGCAGTAATAATCTGCACCTTCCCAATTGGCCGGTTTACCTAATAGATAGAGACAGGAACAAAATTATTATTATTTTTTTTTACTGTACATCTCAGTGAGCT